TGTCACACCAGATGGGCATGGTGTGACCACACCCAAACAAGAATACGGTACGGGGCTGAATAGACAGTAGTTATACATGTATTTAGATTTTACTATACATATCTAGGAAAAATTATTGCATCTAAAATTAGGCGGTTTCGCCGCAGATAAAAATAAAAAAGTCAGCTTTTGAATTTTAATGGAAGAGCAAATTAATGTAACGGGGTTACACGTACCCTGGTAACCGATGTGTGTGTCACACGAGATGGGCATGGTGTGACTGCACCCAAACAAGAATACGGTATGTGGCTAGGTAGCCAGTAGTTATGCATGTATTTAGATTTTGCTTTACATTTTTAGGAAAATATATAAATTTAAAATTAGGCGGCTTTGCCGCAGATAAAAAAAATAAACATCAGTTTTGAATTTAAAACGAAGAGTCTATTGGCCTTAGTCAAGGTACTAACTGCTCTTGGAGGTAGCGGGTTGCGATCCGCTATCTCGTATTGTTTCTTGTAAAGAATTAAACGTCGGTGACCTAAATTACGCTTCCTCAAGCGCAAAGCTACAGCAGCCCCGATGCAATTAGCTCTGGGTTAAGGTAAGCGGATTGTGATCCGCTACAATCGTACTTGTTCTAAGTATAGAACGAAAGGTCGGTGACCTAACTTAGGCCGCTTCTAAGCGCAAAGCTACGGCAGCCCCGCTGCATCCGCTGTCGCGTCCATTGCCTGGCAGCTTATTGAGTCCTTTGTCTTGCTCATATTCTCGATGAGAGCGGCACAGCTAAATATGTTCAGCATTGCCGTAGCTAAAGTTGGCTACAGATTGCAAAAATACTGTGCAGTTTACGCTGCATGAATCGATTACTTGTATTTTTTACAAAACGTGTTCAAATTTCCAAAGTTTGTCACCATGTAAAATATACCTTTGAATAAAATTGTATAATATATTTCAACGAAGAATTAAAGTCCTTACTGATGCACATTATATTATCATAAAGAAGGAGATAAAATGGTCAGGTAAGAAAAAAAAGTGTTACGGTCGTACCATATATTACAGCCCATACGTAAAATATTTGAAGTCAGTGCTGTTAATTTAGACGAGATCAACGTCCCTCCACATCGAAACTCCTGTGCTTTACGAAGCTACCAACAGTAGGAGCAGTAACAGCAACATCATAACAATGGAGATTACTTCCTCGAGTAATGATGCAACGGAATTAGATTTGGAAGATCTTGATCTTGTAGCTCAAACACCTCGAGCCGGATTCGTGACAATTCCTGCAGTTGAGCTAGAGCACATTAAGCTACTGCAACAAGCCAATGGCCTTCAGCAAGCTCTATTTGTTTTCGGATGTGTGCTTACGGGTGGTGTTTTAGCTATTTTGACGTCATGGAAACCCAAGTGGAAAGCTCAAATACTGCGAGAACCAGCTCTAGACAATATGGACGCGACTTCGGTGCTTGTAGTGCATACATTGACCTGGACAAATAGTGAAAAGCAGACAAAAAGGACAAAAAGATTTTATGAAGAATGTGTTTTGTATCATCCAATTGATAGCCCATCGTGGTTTGAGTTTCGAAAGTGTCGATATGTAGTTGATAAGAAAGAATCACTTGGATTTTCTAGACTTGAAAATTCGTTGAACGAAAAGCTTGTGTCGTCTCAACGACGGTGTTTAGAAAGCACAGGATGGACAAGTGCACAAGTTGAAGCTCTCACTGGAGCACATGGAGCGAATGAATTGGCATTGCCGGCCCAGACGTGGTCGACCGTGCTCTTGCGTAAGATCTCACATCCGTTCTATGTATTTCAAGCACTCAGTGGTATTATCTGGTTCTGTGAAGGATATATAGCTTATGCAAGTGTAATACTAATTCTTTCAGCACTTTCGATCGGCTGGGAAGTTCAAGAATTGGTGAAAAATGATAAGAAATTACACGCAAAGTTAAGTCATGCAGATCAAAGTGTTCGTCATGGTGTACGGGTGATTCGAAATGCACGAGAGGAACGATTGAGTCCAGCATCCCTAGTAGTTGGAGACGTTGTAGTGATTGAACAAGGTGACGTCCCTGCGGATATCGTGCTACTTTCTGGTCATTGTATGACAGATGAAGCATCGCTTACGGGGGAGGCGATTCCAGTAACGAAGCAAGCTCTTGCCGCGTCTAATGTCTCAGCTTTAGTGAATATAAATCTCAAAACGACACATCGAGAAAGTGTGCTATTTGCTGGCTCCACAGTCTTAGAGTTGGCTCACTCAAACCTCACCCAAAGCAGTCGCGACGAAGCAAAGGTTTTGACTCGTGGAGTTGTTTTAAGTGCCGGCTTTTCAACGTCGAAAGGTGAATTATTTCGCTCCATTCTTTTTCCAACACCACTCCAGCTGACAAAACGTCTGGAAACTGATAGCTACCGTTTCATGGGTGCATTGTCCGTTCTGGCTTTCATTTTGTTTCTCGATCGCCTCGACAATGCTCTTCACGATTCGAACGTTTCGTTTGGACAAGCGCTAATGTCTGCCTTTGATCTCGTGACAATTGCTGTTCCGCCAGCCCTTCCTGTCGTACTAACAGCAGGAGTTGGATTCGCTTTGTCACGTTTGGAAAGTCAAGCCGATGTGGCATGCATTGATGCAGCACGGATGAATGTTGCTGGTCATATCGATTGTTTCTGTTTTGACAAGACGGGAACGCTATCTAGTAATCACCTTGACTATTACGGTGTGGACGAGTGTTCTGCAGCAATTTCGGATGCAACCAGAAGCCAAAAGCAACAACCTGCATTTAATGGACTTCAACGCGAGGTCGAAGTATTGTCACCTCCGACCATTGTTGGCTTGGCCACGTGTCATGGTCTTACGGATTCTTCCGGTCAAATTAAAGGCTATGCATTGGAAATGGACATGTTTCGTGCCACTGGCTATTCGCTTGAATCAGAGACATCTGAGAAATCGACGAACTCTCGACAATTTGCAGCTCTCGTGGTCTCTCCAATTGGTAAACGCTTTGGAATAGTCGCGCGCTTTCCATTTGACGCATCACGTCAGCGATCTTCGGTAGTGGTAGAAGATGTTGACAGTGGTAATCGATATGCTTACGTCAAAGGCTCACCTGAGGCGATCCACAAGATATGTACACCCAATACACTTCCAAATAATTATATAGCACGTGCACGTTCGTATGCACATCAAGGTCTCTATGTCGTGGCGCTTGCGACTAAGGTATTTCCTTTACCAAAGACCGAATCAACTCAACTCGTGGCTCGAGATGATGTTGAAAGTTCGGTAGCTTTTCTCGGCTTCTTGCTTTTTGTAAATCAAGTGAAAGCTGAAGCTCCTTACGTTGTTGGAGCACTGGAGGAAGCTGGTGTTGACGTACGCATCATTACCGGGGACGATGTGCTCACAGCAATTTACGTTGCGCGCAAAATCAATATGGACATGCAGCCGTCTGTTCTTTTGATTGATGCACAGAAACAACAGGACAGAATGGTTGTAGTTTACGCAGATGTTGATGAATTGGGTCAAAGCACTCGAGACAACGCGACTCGAAACAATTCAAGCGAAACTTGGAACACTGTCGATAGACACTCGTTTCTCTCTCTTGCTGAAGGTTGTTCACTCGCTCTGACCGGCGCTGCAATTGAACGCTTTTTGGTCGAAAATGAATCTAAAGAAAACGAATCGATAAATCCGTCAACGAAATCTTGGTCGAATTTCGCTTATGAGCTCGTGGGTAGAACCAAAGTGTTTGCACGTGTGCGACCAGAGCAAAAGACTTGGATCATCGAGACATTAATGACTCGACACGGCGCGTGTGTCGCTATGTGTGGAGATGGAGCAAACGACTGTGGTGCCCTCAAAGCTGCTCATGTTGGACTAGCGTTGTCAACAGACGACGCTGCAATGGTAGCTCCCTTTACTAGCCGCACTCTACGCGTAAGCGACGCCGTCGAGTTATTACGTGAAGGACGAGGCGCATTGAGTTCAGCATTCGTTGCATTTCGATACATGGTCATCTACTCGGTTGTTCAAGCGACGATTTCGGCG